CTGTGAGTAGCACTCTTAAATTTGTTATTCGTCAATACCTGAAATTTTCTCAAGGGGAAATCAATAAATTAAATTTATCAGACGAAGAAATCATTTGACAAGCTAGCAATGGAGCCAGTATTTAAAATGCATTTATGAAGATTGTGTACTTGTACCGCATTCGACGAAAAATAAATCCAGTTTTCAGATTGTGAACCTGAATAACGTCGCCTATGTTGACAACCACGCTGCCTTCAGCTGGAATCACTGGAATCCATTCTCCATCTTTTCTGACCTCGAGACCTCCAACTTCGTCCTGAATCACGAAGGTGACGCAGTTTCCATCTTCATGTTCAGATAAGCCATTGTTTTCAGTTCCAGTTGCTGGGAAGTAGCGTAAAGCCACCATGAAATCCCAGCTTCTGTCATTGTTGAATTCTTTCAAAAAGTTGGGCGGGAGACCCAAACAATCATTCAATATTCTCTCTATAAGTTCACCAGTCCTAGCAAAATAGGTGAACAACTCTTCAAGTACTTCCCTAGAAGCATAAAACATTAGACATTAACAATTCTGTCGAAGAATTACAAAGGAAAAGACCCTGTTTATAGGGAGACCAATAGGTTTTGAAAAAAAGAAAGACTCTATACCTGAACTCTGGCGGATTTGAGGGCAAAACATTGAAGGTGGACCGAGGTGGAAACATGAGTAAGTATTCATTTTTATCAGCCGAGTGTTCTGGCTGCTTATTATAACCGGCCGGAAGAGGTGCACCCAATCCCCGGATATATTTGACCTTCTCCTCATCTGGGAGGGCAAAGAATGTCCCTGAAAACTTCAGGGCTCGGTTTATCAAATCGCGGGGTATGCCGTGATTAAAGATTTGGAAGAAACCATAATTTGAGCAAGCTTCTTTAATAATTCCTACTGCATTCTTCTTTCCATCCTCATCACTGTCAGTGAAGAAAGGTGAAAAATCAACCGTGGGAATGTCTAAGTTTTCCATTTGATCTTTCTGTATCAGTTGATATTTTTATTGCCAATTGCTAGAACCCAACGGCAAAGATGCTTCCCCGCAAAATTTTATCTTCTTTTGCTAGTTCCCGAAGATGCTTCCTAGCAAAATTTTGTCTTCTTGTGGTCATATCACTGTTGGCAAAATTTGTCTTTTTGTTGCCAAGGATATGCTACTTTTCACTGGTAAAGCATATTTTGCCAAGGGTAGGCATCCTTCATTATTTTATTATTATTATTTTTTTTGGGCTAGCAAGAATGCAAAGCTCAAGTACTAAACACCCTAATCAATCGTATTCGTTAATTTGAATTGAATTACATTCTTTTTTTAGTCACTTTTGAAGCATAGCCAGAACTAAGTGTTATTATGTTAGATAATGGATGTTATTTGGTGAAATATTTGCATGAATTAAAAAAATGAAATATACATATGGCGTCATTCTATTTCTTTTATATGTACTAGATATTAAGAAGATAATTTATAGTATCAATTCACGATTTTTCGAGGGAAAAAAATGAAAAGAAAAGAGAAGGTTACGATACATGTGAAAGGCCCACCGGATGTTCAGACCTAATTGTAAAATTCGTCTATAAGTTGGAAGAATTACTTGTGGAAGGCCCAGGGAGGTCACTTTGCCCAAGCATATTTTGCCAGGGTTGATAAATATTGACCGACAAAATTAGTTTCAAAATGGTAACTTGTACTGAGGAAAATAATTAATAAAACTTGTTCGAGTCCAATAAAAATGATACTCGTTCTGGTTCACAGTAACGTCCACTGCTCTTGGTCAAAATTTATTATACTTCAATGCCTAGAAAGGTCTCTACTGTTCGATCATGTCCATTGTGGATAATTGTCATCATAGAAGCTATACGAAATTAAGAAGTAAGTTATTCAAACATATTCAAATCCAAGAAAACTGTACACGTTTTGGTTCTAAATAACGTCCGTCACCCTGGTCAAAATTTATGAAACTTCAATACCCAGAAAGGTCTCAATTGCACACTATTTGATCATGTCCGTTATGGTTAGATTGTCGAAGGATCAAGACACTTTGAAATGGAATAGACACTCATCAAATGGATTGATGAACATATCTATATCCAAACTGAGACAAATTTACAAAACTTCTTCTAGAAAAGCACTTTATTATAATAAAAGCTGATTAGATTTAAGATGAACAGGTTGACCATAGATCTTCCAAGTTCTGAGTCGATAAACTGTAACTACAGTAGGCCATGAAAATAAAAATCCATTCAGTGTATCAAACTATAAATTTATCTATCAGCCATTCTCAGCAGATTTTGCAACATATTTAGCACGTTCGGCCAGCAAAGTGATCATCTATAATGCGCTCAACCAGCAAATACATTCCCAATTGCTCTTAAGAACATAATAAACACTCAGGCTATAGCATCTCATGTATAAATAGTTGTGTAGACAGATCCTACAAAAGAAGAGATCGTCCTTAAAGGGTCCATCACGAAACCAGAGTGAGCAGACCCTGAAGCCACCATCAACATTGTTACTCTCTCTTAAACTCTGAACCCCTTTACAAGCTACTAAATAAACTGTGAAAAACATAATACAAAACATCTTAAAAGGCTCAATTGTCACCCTCGTTGCCATCATTATCCTCATCATCTTCAGAGCCATCATCGTCTTCAGAGCCATCACTGCCCTTTTCCTGCAGGGATTCTAGGATCAATAATTACCATTGACCGCCCAAAAGAATTAAAGAAGTATGGAACAAACAATACACTAGATAGTCTTTCTATACAATTTAATGGAGAGAGAGAGAGAGAGAGAGAGAGAGAGAGAGAGAGAGAGACAGAGACTATTAAAGTTTATTATCTATATTCCTTGCAAATGCATCTATAGACTGACAGGTCTAAAGGCAGTTCTCTGTCAGTGTTCTAATTTAATTTTATTACAAGCTCCAAGACTCCCACACTCAATTTTATTTTTATGCTCCAGTCTTTGCTGTACCCCTGTTATTGTGAAGCCATAATAAAGAAGCTCAAATACAGTAAGGATTGGATGCTATACAAATTTAAAGCGCAGACAAATAAGTAAATGAATGAACCATTATTCAGCTTCCAAATACAACCAGAAGTCACTGACAATTATAACATGCATTCAGGGCTGATACT